CGAGTCCAGGAGGATGTTGTAAACAGCTAGGAGAAGTAATTCCTAGCTTACACAAGTTGTTCCAGAAAACTGAAAACAAGTGAAAGTTATCCAGTTCTATTTTATCCAGTAATCTCAACTCTAAAAACCAGATAAGTACAAGAAATTACAATTATAGGTCCATATCATTTATGAACATAGACCTAAAAATCATAACTAAACAAATCCAACAGAGTATTGAAAAATATCCTGAAATAATCACATAGTTTTTATCTCAGTGATGCAAGGAAGTTCTATGAAAAGAAAATCTAGCAATGTCATATACCACAAAAATAAACTTGAGGAGGAAAAAAAAATCATATAATTTTATTAATGCAGAAAAAAGCATTTGTAAAGTTCAAAATCTTTTTATGGCAAAGACTTCTAGCTAACTAAAGATAAAAGGGAACTTATTTAACTTAGTAAAGTTTATAAATCCATCTCTCTCAGAGTTACACTCTAAAAGGTTTACAAATGAAATCATATGACGTCTGGGATTTGTTTCAAAATAAACTATTGTCTGGGAAGGGGAGTGGAGAGGGTACAGAGGAAACAAAATTACCCATATATTGCAATAGTTGTAACACGATGATGGATACAGTGTGGCTAGTCATTATTCTCACTACTTTGGCAGGAATTGTAAAGATTAAAAACCAAAAACCCACAGCAAGCATTTTACTTAATAGAGAAATTTGAGTTGCATTCCTTTTAAGATGAAGAACAATTTGAGAATATTTAACTTTCATTTCTACCTTTAAAGATAGTACTGGAGGTTCTGACCAAAATTAGTGAAAGAAAGAGAGAGAGAGAGAGAGAGAGGGAGGGAGGGAGGGAGGGAGGAAGGAAGGAAGGAAGGAAGGAAGGAAGGAAGGAAGGAAGGAAGGAAGGAAGGAAGGAAGGGAGAAGATATATAAGAATTAAAAAGGAGATTAACATGACCTTATTTGAAGATAAAATAATCATCTGCCTTGAAAACCCAAACCCAATGGTATTAATGGTAAAATTATTGGAACAAGTGTACCAAATACAAGTTCAACTTCAAAAATAGTATTTCTCTATCCTAGTAATAACTGACTAAACAATATAATTTCAAAAAGAATATCAACAAATATTCTAAGGACTCTAGAAATAAACATAAGTGAGAACATAAAAGACTTCGTTTATTTTAAAATTTATTTTAAATTTTATTTTATTTAAATTTAAATAAATATAATTTATTTAAAAAATTTTAAACTCGGGACGCCTGGGTGGCTCAGTTGGCTAAGCAGCTGCCTTCACCTCAGGTCATGATCCCAGGGTCCTGGGATCAAGTCCCGCATCAGGCTCCCTGCTAAGCAGGGAGCCTGCTTCTCCCTCTGCCTGCCACTCCTCCTGCTTGTGATCTTTCTCTCTCTCTCTCTGACAAATAAATAAATAAAATTAAAAAAAAAATTTTTTTTTAACTCTACAAAGGAAAAAAATGATCTGAATAAATAGAGAGACTTAATATTATGAACATTCAATTCTTCAAAAATTAAACTATAAATTCCAATGTAATTATATATCAAAATTCCTGTAGGATTTTAAAAATATACTTGATATTCTAAAATATTTATGAGGAAATAAATGTCTACAACATAGCTAATTCAATTTTGAAAAGAAAAAGTAGAAAGGAAGAACCTCCCTGCCAGGTATCAAGATATACATATACTGCTAGAATAATAAAAACAAGTGGGCCAACTGAAACAGAACAGAGAGCTCAGAAGCAGCTTCATATACTAATGGGAACTTATACAATAAAGGCGATATTAGATTCATGGGAAATGATGAGTTTTTAGCCCGTGAGAATTGATTATATAGAAAAAAAATCTGGATCAAAAGTGAACTCTAGTTGAATAAGATGTTTATATGTCCAGAAAAAAATTATAAAGGTAGTAGAAGAAAATGGAGAAGCCCATCCCTATGACGTAGAGATAAGAAATGATTTCTGGAACCAAATCTCCAAAGCAGGAATTATAAGGAAATATTAATTTGAATAATCAATTGAAGATTCCTGACCAACAAAGACACTATGGATAAAGTTAACAGATAGATGACAAATCTGCAAGAGTAAAATGTCACTTGTCACCTGTTGCAAGCTGGAAAGGTCAAGTGTTGGGCAGGTTGTGGGGACATGGAGAGACTGATCATGGCAGAGAAACTGATACAGGCCTTCTGGAGGGTAAGCTGGCATTATTTAATTCTATCAAATGAACCCATATCCTATGACCTAGCAAGTCCCATGATAGGTATATATTCTCCAGAAAAATCATAACCAGCTTCATAAAGGGTCATATATAAGAATTTGTACATTTGAAGCGCTATTTGGTTTAGCCAAGAGTTGGAACAATCAAGCTGTCTATCGCTGGAGGAGTGGGGAGGTAAACTGTAACGGAATACACACATGGAATACTGTACACCTGTGAAAAGTAACACAGAAGGTGTACACGGAACAACGTGAATGTTTCCTTCTTGAAAATATTTAGTGCTGCACATAAAAACAGTAAAAGAAAAAAAATCTCTAACACAATACAATTTACATAAATTAAAAGCACATGTAGACATAACAAAACAAAACTGCATATTTTACTATCATCTAAATGAAAAGATATGCATTAAATCATTATAATGATGGTCTTTTGAGAAGCAAAGGAATTGAATGGGGAATGGGGATAAAATGGATTGCATAAATAGATGTGGGAGTCTTGCACAGACTGTTGTTGCAATTCTATAAGAATGGGGATTTTGGACTGTGCTGAGTAAACATTTGTTGAGTGCCTGAATGTGACATGAATTGAGGAATATGATTCATTTTCTCTCTCTGTACCTGAGTTCCAAATATTAGGTTGCATCATATGAAATTGCAAGATGTTTGAAGGTCAAAACTGGCCAAATATCAGCGGTTTCATATAATTCAACCTAATAGAAAGGGAAATCTGAAAATGATGAAAGCTACTTAGGGAAATATAAACAACCACTGTAAAGACTAGTGGGAGATAACATGAAAGACAAACCAAATTTGATTCTACCTTTTCATAATTAACTAAAAACCACCTACATTGATATAGTTAAGATGGCTGTCCTTAAAATAAAGTGCCCTTAAGACTTAAGTCATCTCGGGCGCCTGGGTGGCTCAGTTGGTTAAGCGACTGCCTTCGGCTCAGGTCATGATCCCAGAGTGCTGGGATCAAGTCCCGCATCGGGCTCCCAGCTCGTTGGGGAGCCTGCTTCTCCCTCTGACCCTATCCCCTCTCATGCTGTTTCTCTCTCTCTCTCAAATAAATAAATAAATGAAATCTTTAAAAAAAAAAAAAAAGACTTAAGTCATCAATAGTATTTCCTTAAAATGTCAGTCATATACTATACTAAGGAATATAGCATCTGTATCTTTTATCACTCTGATCTTTTTTTCAATTGACTATATTTAATGGGCCATTTAAAGATTTTTCACTACTGGAAGATTTTCCAGAATTTACAATGTAGTTTATATAAGATAAATTCTGAAAAACATCAGGCTCAGTCACTTCTGAATCTCTTGAAATTATGAAAGGCACTTGTACATTCTTTTTTTTTTAAACTTTATTATGATTGAAATACAAAAAGTTGTACATATTTACCACATACAATTTGATGAATTTGGAGATAAATACACCTATGAAACCATTGCCACCATCAAGCCATAATCACATCTATTCCTTCTACATTTTACCCTTCATATATGTATGTATGTATGTATGTATTATTTAGTGACACGGACACTTAACATTAAGTTCTATTCTCTTAGAAAATCTTAGTATCATTAACTGTAGGCACTATGCTGTCCATAAAACTCTAGGACATACTCATCTTGCATAAGTGAAACTTTGTACCAGTTGACCAATCTGTTCTCATTTCCCCTTTCCCCCAGCCCCTGGTAACTATCATTCTATTCTCTGCTTCTGTGAGTTTGACAATTTTAGATTCTCAAATAAGTGGGATCATGTAGTATTTGTTCTTTGAAGAAATTTTTGATTTTAGAGAAATAATTGTTCAGAGGACAGATATGAGAAAATGGGAAGAAACTGAAAGAACATACAGGATAAGATATTTGTGTGTTCTTTTAGTTTCTTCCTATTTCCTCTTACCTGTCCTCTGAACAATTATTTCTCTAAAATTGAAAACTTCTTGGGGTGACCTGGGTGGTTCAGTCATTTAAGCATCTGTCTTCAGCTCAGGTCATTATCTCAGGGTCCTGGGATCGAGCCCATGTCAGGCTCCCTGTTCTTCCTCTCCCTCTTCCCCCACTTGTGCTCTTTCTCTCTCGCTCTCTCTCTCAAATAAATAAATAAAATCTTTAAAAAAAATAAAATAGAATTGGAAACTTCTTAAAATTTACCCATTGTGTTGTTACTAGACCTTATTTTCAACTGAGGTGACCTGAGTTACCTTTTATAACTAAATTTTTTGTGCTTGTTACTAAGTTTTTCCAGAAAACTTTCTCATCATGCTTCATGTCAGGGCTTTCTAGCTTAGGCACACTTGAGAGCTTTGTTATTCACTCAGCAAATATTCCATATTGATTACTGTAATAAAATAGTCATTTTGCTTCCTAAGAATGAAGAAAAAACATAAGGGAAAAATTTTATTTTCATTTGTTGCAATGATTATATTTTTCTTGAATAAGTGGAAAGTCAAGAAAACAACACATCTGAGGATTAGCTTTATAATGGGTCAAAGAATTGAACTAAAATGATGAATTGAGAAAACAAGATGCAGCTTTTGTGATCCCTAGTGAATTAAGCTGTTTCCAGTTCCTTTTTGAACCTATACCTATTAAATGAAAATCTCTACTTGCAGCAATAAAATGAGGCAATCTTTGTTCAATGGGATTTGATAATCATAAAGGTCAGAGAAAGGCAGCTCAACTCACTTTACCTATCTTTAACATACTTTGAGGGAAACAACAGCTTCGGTGGAAATTTTACCTTGATAGTGAAGCGTTTTTTCTTTGGTGGATTCCAAACTGTGCCATTTGAATGAATGAATGCACGCAAAGGTCTTAAGGATGTCACCAACACATATGCTTTAAGAATCACAGATAGTTCTTCAGCTCTGAAGATTGTTTCATGTCGAGCAAGGACTGTTGTTTGATTCCTAAAAAAATAAGCCAGCATAGTTAATGCTCCATAACTTAGGGTACGTCATTTGTACATTACGTCGAAGCTTTGTGCACTCATTCTTCCTTTGTTGGACCCCAGCTTTCAATGTGTGGGTTTCCTTAAACAATTTCACTGCTTGTCAGCATCGCTGCCAAGGGATATGCAGGCACAGAGAGAGGGGATTAAATTGACAAGAGTTCTCCACTCCGGTAGACTTAATTAAAAAATTTTTAAGAGAAAGAAAGATAGGGAAATAGTGCCTAAAATAAGGTTTAAAGGTTTAAAAAGTGTAAATTAGTCATGTCTGTACCATTACAACAAAAGTGATGCAAATTACAGTTTAGGGAATAGTGAAGACATTTTCCCCATCCTGCTCTGGCCTGCCTTTGCTTTATCTTCTCCTTGACAAGAAAAGATATTCTACTTTTCAATAGTGGACAGGTCACCAAAAATATGCCAAAATATATTCCCAATCTACTAGTCTGATTCTACCCAATAACTGTCATCACAGATAATTATGGGTTAATTTAAGGGCTAAATTATGAAGATAACACTTCAGTTTACAAGGGAAAATTAACATTAATATTTTGTGATGAAACAAGTATGCTTTAATCATAAAAGACCCCAAAATGTTTAATTATTTGCTTTCTGCACGACATTTCTGCTTCAAATATCTAAGTCTGATCAATGAAAAGATTGAGCTATTTCAACTTTTGAAGTCTAGGTAAGCAGGAGATGCATATGATTCTTCAATAAATACTATTAACTGTAGAAATCTACTGAATAATTATAAAATTAGATGAAGTAAACTATTTTTGTCTCTTGGATAAGATAATGAAAATCTTTTAATTTTTCACTATAATTTATCTACGTTACAAAATCATTTCCCTGGAGGTAACTTAAATAATTTGGTACCCTGCAGTTGCTTTCTTAGATCCTAGGAGCCATAAAAAAAATATTAACCAGAAAAAGAATTCATTCAGCCATACTCATAGACTAGGGCAATGTCATTTGAGTATAAAATGGAAGTTAAAATTTTATAGTTTCACACTGTCAAGGTTTCAAATTCTATTTCCGTTAATGTAACTTCCTAGATAAGAGTCCTATTTACCCAAATGTTTATTCTCTGGCAAGAGAGGTTTGAATTAGTCTAGAAAAAAATCAATGACGGCATTCTTTATTAAGAAGAGATAGCTGAAATTTTATGTAACAGAACCTAGTAATTCAAACATGTAATACCCCCTGGATATCTTCAGGGGTTTTCTCTTGTTAGCTGTTTCCAAGAATGCATGCTGGATATAACAATTCAAAATGATTAGCTTACAGCTGTTCACGTCGCCAGTCCCATGGTTTCCACATATGTGGCTTCACTGTTTTTAAAAGGTGACTCGAAGTGCTCAGCTTTAACTGTATGCTCTGATCCAGACACACAGAGGGGCTTACCAGAAGTCGCAATTCTGAAAAAATTCAGAAGAGCAAAAACCAGTCATTCTATTGTTTCTTTTTGAAATTGCTCCAAAGTAGTGTTTGCTGTGTTCAACTACATGATGTATGGGAAATAGGCAACCCATTTTTTCTCCATTCTGAATCAAAGTTAGATCCATTCAATAACGCATGTTTATAAAGGCATTTGTTTTGCAGTTTATTCTCACAATAGACTAGGAAAACAATTATAGTAACTGATTTCAACTCTTCTTGCTCAGAAAGAGAGCTAGAAATGATGTCTCCAACTGTCCTGCACCAGGCAGATCTACCCTCCAGACACATAAGAGATGTACTCCTAATATGGGGAAGATGGCTGCAGGAGCTGACTTTTGCTTGTGATGAGAATATTACATGGACAACTTGAATTGATTTCCTGACAATAGCACAGTCCTTCATGTGCTAGAGCCTCTCTCATGCTTCATGATCTTGGTAAACTCGACCACAATGCTTTATTATTTTGTAAAATAGTATTTAATAGTTTTTAAAGTATATAAAAGTGAAGACCAACAGTAATGATTTACTCAGAATGCTCACTGATATTTTTTTAAAAAATAAATGTATTGAAGGTACATGGTTAAAAAAATTCAAATTGTATGGAACGTTATCAAATTGGAAAAAAAAAAAAAAGAAGCATCCAGCAATCCACCCCTATCTGGGACCTCTCTCTGCCAAAGCCAATGCCTACATATTCGCTTTTGAAGTCTAAATCAGTGCACAATGGGTAAGATGCATATGGTTCTTCAATATGCAAATTGATAGAAATATCAACACATCCATGTAACTTATATATGCAGACACTTCTGCTTTTTAAACTATCCAAAAGAGACATTACAGTAGTCCCCTTTATCTATAGTGTTGCTTTCCTCAGTTTCAGTTACCTGTGGTTAACCCCCAGTCAAGAAGCAAATGATCCTCCTGACGTACCATCAGGTCAGCAGTAGCCTAATGCTACGTCACAGTGCCTGTGTCCTTCACCTTTCTCTCATCATCTAGGCATGTTATCATCTCAGTCATCACAAGAAGGATGAGTGCAACACACTAACATATTTCCAGAGAGTGAGACCACATTCACATAACCCTTATTACAGTCCAGTTATAATTGTTCTATTTTATTATTATTGTTGTTAATCTGTTACTGTGCCTAATTTATAAAATAAACTGTATCTTAGGTGTGCATGTATAAGAAAAAACAGTACATTTGGGTTCGGTACTATCTGAGGTTTCAGGCAAGCACTGGGGGTCCTGGAACGCATCCCCTGCAGATAAGGGGGGATTGCTGTATAATGGTCTATGTCTGGCATGTTTACCTACCAATCCATCCTGGAATCCTTTCCATTTGAGCACACACAGAATTACATTATACTTCTTGGGGCGCCTGGGTGGCTCAGTTGTTAAGCGTATGCCTTTGGCTCAGGTCATGATCCCAGGGTCCTGGGATCCAGAGGACATCAGGCTCCTTCCTCAGCAGGGAGCCTGCTTCTCCCTCTGCCACTCCCCCTGCTTGTGTTCCCTCTCTCGCTATCTCTCTGTCAAATAAATAAAAAATCTTTGAAAAAAAAAAAGAATTACATTATACTTCTTAATGGCTTAGGGTGTGCCGTTAAATGGATATACCTTTGATTTAATCATTCTCTTATTGTTGTGTATTCAGATTACATTTGTAATTTTTCCTTTTGTTATTTCAAAAATACTGCACAATGAATGCTCTTCTAAATCTATTTGGGTGTACTTTTACAAGTTTATTTAGGGTCAAAGTCTAGTCTGTATGTGTAATTACCAGATCAACGAATAAATGCAATGTAAAAATGATAGGTATTACTGAATTGGCTTCCAAAAGGTTGCCCCAATTTCCACTCCCTCTGACAGCACACGAGAGTTGTTTTTCCTTGCCGTCAGGTCACAGTGATTTATTTTTAAATTATACAATTTATCTAGCTCTCAAGATGGAACAAAGCCTTTAAATTATTTTTCCCCCTTGTGCACGTTTCATCAATACTAACATAGTCTAATTTAAAACACTTCACACTCTTAAGTAAAAGTCAGCAGAAGTCAAGCTGTTCAATGTATTCCCATATCTCATTATTTAACAGTGTGATCTTTCTCAAAAAATGATAGCCTACTTGTAAGGCTTCCTTATTAATGAAGTTCTAATACATCATAATAAAAGAAATACTCAAATTGCTTGTTTCTGGAGATGACAAATGAAGAGTCATTAAGGTAATTTCTTTTCTTGGGAATCACAACTTAAGAAGAGTTGAAATGTTTATATACTCCTTTAAATTTACAGTCAGAAAATACGTTCTCTTTTTTTTACTAAGTAGACATTTTTTAGGATTTATTACTAGGAAAGATTTTGTCTCTCTGGAAGAGCTAATTTGTGGCCTTCTTTTGTATAATACGAGAACAGTGTAATTTACTCTGATTTCCTTTTTATCCTTACTGCCAGGAAGCACAGCATTGATCTGAAGCCCAAGCAGAGCTGACTTTGAGAAGCTACCCCTATTAAGTGTTTCACCAAGGTAGTAGCTCAATGATTTTCAGGAAGTAGTAGTCAGCAAATATGTCAAAGAATAAACAATTTTATGTCACTTTTTTTTGGCCTTAGTTCAAGTGGAAGAGCCTATAACACAGAGCACAAGGAATCCAATATAAGAATTGTCAAGAATATGTCAGCATTCCACATCAGCCCTTCAAACTGTGGTTGAACAATGGAATGTAATATTGATTAAAGTAATTTTTACCCTTTGTGATATATATACACACACATATATATATAGATATAGGATCTATAGGTGTGTGTATATATATATATATGGCTTTCCATTATCTTATTCCAGGTTTGAGGTTACTCTTAATGATTCTAACCCCCCAAAAACCAACAAAAAGCCCCTCTAATTAGATGTTCCCTAACATCTAAAATTATTCCCATTTCCCTTGATTACAGCCAAAAATTAAAAATGAGCTCCATTAAGGGACACCTGCATGGCTCAGATGGTTAATCATCTGCCTTTGGCTCAGGTCTTGATCTCTGGGTCCTGGGATCGAGTCCCACATCGGGTTCCTGGCTCAGGGGGAGTTTGCTTCTCCCTCTGCCTCTCCCCTCTGCTAGTGCTCTCTGCCTTTCTCTCTCTCTCTCTCAAATGAATAAATTTTAAAAAAATCATTAAAGAAATAAGCTCCATTAATCCTTGTAAAAGCTGCAACTATATTTTATGGAACTATGATAAATAATTGTGGAAATCTTAAATACCCTATGTTCTCACTTAACAGAGTCAAAGAATTGTCAGTAGTCACTATTCCTTTCATCTTTCATTTGGCTTTTCTATCAAAGGCTCTCTCAACAAACCAGTCCAATTCACTTGTTTTAATATTCCATTCCCCTCTTCTCCCTAGACCACCCAACACACACATGAACCTAGAGATCTTCTATAAGCAATGCCAAAACAAGCTTCTGTTTTTTGGGGAAATTTGGGAGATGAGTGCCTATGATACAGTCTTTTAAATGACCTTGTAATTCATTAAGACGTATTTGTTAAATATTTTCAGAAAGCAATTAAATATGGAGGGCCTAGCATGTGTATTTAGGGTTTTTCTACCCCACAGTATGAGGACTGAATGAATAGGCAGCTACAGATGTGAAATATCTATGTGTTTTTATTTATCAACTACCCTTAGCTTATTTTAAAGAGCTATGAAGCCTGTAACTTTACCACTTACCCAGAGAAAAAATGAACAATTTTTAAAGGATGCCTGAAGACTGCTCTTCTCCTGCCTTCTAACATTTGGTTGGCCAGGGACCCAGTACCCACTGAGTATCGTGCAGTTTTAAGAAAAGAAAGATTAAACCAGAACCACAAGACCTGGGTTTTCATTTTGATTCTTACTAACCAATGCTTAATGGATGTGTGACAATGTCAAGGAGTCTTCTAGAATCCAGAATATGATTTCCCATGAATTTCCTGATTGTCCCACATCACTGAATACAATGCTGATGCATAAAAAGTGTTCAGTAAGTGTTTGTTCTAGCAATGAGCTAGTTTGGGGGGGGGGGCGGGTAGGGATTAAGTCAATGTGTACTTGGAAAACAAAATGGTATACCAATGTATTCAAAATATTTTATTTTTTTCCCTTTTATATGGCATGTAATTATATACATTATAGGCAAAGACTATACACTGGAAAACAAGCAATGATTAGCAGGCAAATTTATACTATATTTTTGATTTAATGTTTTGCCCAGAGCTAATAATTAATAGGAAAGTAAAAGTGGAAAATGTAATTATATTTCATAAATGTTTGAATATTGTCTTGCATTTCATATTAGGAAACTACACTTAGCCACTATTTTCTCATTTTAAAACTTCCAGTGAAGATAAAAGGTCTTACTTAATAATTAACAGTTAGTTTTGAGATTAGAAGTATAAATAAGTACCATTTGTGGGTATATTAATTGTTCTTTTTACCCAAAGACATTTACAAGTCTTAGTCCTTAGCCCACAGGTATAGCTATGCAAACATACCCACAGAACTTACATACATAACAAATATAAATTAATATATGCACAAACTAAAGTCATAGCCAGGAAAAAAACTGAGTTAGGGCCCCGGGAGAAAATGAATGGATGGCAAGTCAAAATCATAGGTGAAGAGACTATTAACCAAGAAACTATTACAGAAGGGGACTGTTAAAGAGGGTAGCATTAAGGGAAAACAATAGATAGTGAAGCTCCCAGGGTTGACAAAATGGACGCTCTTGCCACCCCTAGCCCAGGAGGGCGGGGATTATAGAACCAAGCAAAGGGCATAGCTGTGGGAGAGAACACTGAGCATGACCTATGGTCACAATAGCTATGGGAGAGGACGCTGAGCATGAGCTATGGCCACAGATAGAAGAACACTGGCACTACTAAGCCAGGTCTGGCCAGGAAGCAGGTAGGGAATAAATATCCCAAAGTTCCCTCCTCCTGAACTC